TTTCTTCCTTTGCTTGCATCACTCTTTTTTCCTAAATAAGCCAAACACGGTTTAAAATGGATGCATGCATGCTCTCTTAGTGCCTTGCCCAAAAGTGGTAATATTCCCTCCATTTCTTTCTGTCACCCATGTGCAAGATTGCCAGCTCACCATATTGCATACTTCACTCAATTTTCACTCTCATTTTTCTCATCAAAACGACCCTAACATCACAACAACACAACACAAAACGCAGGCCCATGTGATTACATTTTTTGATAAAGCTTGTAGAGCAAACTTGGTTAACTGTATTTAGATGCTTAACCATTCATCCCAACAGTTATATAAAGAGCTTTCCTCTCTTCATTCATCACACAATCAATTCACACAAGCAAATCAAGCTGAAGCTCTCTCTCACTTTTTCTCAAGTCCTCTCAAGAAGATCTTCTCGGATTCAGAAATTTCTGTGAAGAGATCTTGTTCATTCGTGTTGATTCTTCATATTAGAGCTTGATCAAGTGATTCCTGAGTTTCTCTCATCTATTTGAAGAAGCCAGCGAAGCTACTCCACTAGGTAACTCTTCAAAACATCATAGATATGTTTATGAGCTTACATTTGTGTTCATAATTGATTTTAATGATTGAATTTGTGTTCATTGTGTTGTTAGGTGGCCAAATAATACGTTTGATGTATATAATTGTTTGACTCTGAGCTTGAATCTGGTTCTGAGTTTTGTGCGCAAATGGTAAAATTAGTGAATGTTTGATCTAATTTCTCTGTGATTTAGTGATTATTTAATGTAGTTCTTGGTATCACGTTGTAGATTTCCATGAGATCTACAACTTTGCTTCAGATCTCATGAGATTTCATGGAGAAACGAGTACGTATTGCTATCTGAAGTTCACAACTCACACACTGATTTAGGGTTTGTTCTAACTGTTTGATTAGAGAAGATAATTTCTGATTGGTTGATTTGAATTTTTCCTAGGCCCCATGTGCGCACCATTTTCTTTATTTAATATCATTTTGAATTTTGTTTCACATTTTCCCTCTTTATTTCTATTATTTTTCTTGATTTTATTTTTATAGCTTTAATGATCAGAAAATTATCAAAAAATATGGTTCGTTAGATCTCTGAATCTCTTCCCTAAAAATATTTTTTATTTTATTTTACAAAATTTTGTGGCACTTTAATTAAATCAATTGATTAATAGTGTCATTTTCTCTCAACTTTATTATATTTTGTTTTGATTTTTGTTTTAATTTTTTCCCTCATGATAAAATTCTACAAAAATATTTTTAGTAATACTTAGAGAATAAAATAATTTTCCATGATTTTTAATCTGATTTACAATTAATTTTTCTTGATGGTAAAAATTGTGGAAGATTATTGTTGTTTTTGGTCCCTTTTCTTGCATAGTTTTAGAGATTGAATTAATTATCTTCCCTCCTTAACTTCTAAAATTTAAAGAAAATTTGTTTAAGGTTCTCAGATGAGTTAAAATCATGAAAATGTTTTTTGTTGAATTTTAAATATTTATCTTACATTTTTCACAAAATAATTTGTAACATGTCTAGCTTGAGAACTTTGCCAATTAGTCTTCATAATTGCAAACCTTTTTCACCATTCCAAGTTGATCCAAGAACTTTAACCTTTTCTTATGACTTTTAGAGACCTTGAGGAAGTTATAATTAATTTTGTTTGAACTTAAAAGTCTTATTTCTATTTTTAACCTAATTTTTGATTGAAATTGTCCATTGAAGCATGCTTGAGCTTATTGCTTCTCATTTGCTAGCTTATGAAACTATTTTGGGGCTGATTTTTGGACACTTAGTAGTCCCTGGATTCCTTTAGTATCACATTATCTTGGAAAAATTTATTTTATCCTTTTTAGCTATTGATGATCATTTTGTTTTGAACTCTTAATTGTTCAAGTTTTAAACCCTACTTTGAATCTTTCTTGTGTTTTGTGGTTTGTTCTTGAGGACTCTTTAGGTCCAACAATCATGATTAGAGGATGATATTTTCAAGGAAGTTTTCACTAAGATCATGATAACTAATTGACTCTACCTTTTACTTTATGCCTTTGCTCTCCATTTGATCTTTCTTTGTTGCTTGATATAAGGTATGCACTTGTGCAATCTATAAGAAACCAAGTTACTTCTTCTTTCTCTTATTATTATTAGCATGTTTATATCCTCGAGTTCATGTCTATGAAACATTCAAGTACTCTAACATCTTACTCTTTTCTTAGAGGTTTAATTGCTCATCTTTAGTGATCATAGTTTAGAAGGATGATCTTGTACACTTCCACTCAAATGCTGTTGATCCTAAATGGTTGAAGTACCTTTAAATATACTTCTGACTTCGTGAATTTTAATATAATTATAATTTGGTTATTTTATTGATATTCCATTGTCAATTCATCATGATGAAATGTTAGGAGCTACATTCTATAGTTTTGACCTAGTTTGTGTGTGTTGATATTTTTGAATCAATTAGAGGACCAAGGTCCAATATCTTTGTTCTTAAGTATTGATCTTAACCACTCTTCTCATATCATTTATCATGCTTATTTGATCCTTGGTTAAACACTCACTTGCCAACTTATATGGTGACACATAAGAAGCCACATTCTCTTTTCTACTTGTGTTTGCCTCATGAACTTTTTTGCCATGTCTCTATAATGCATCTTGATGTTGGCTACTTACAATAATATTAAGTTTTATTTACATAAATTACAATGCTTGTGTGCATTAAGGGACTATACTTTGCCAATTTGTCATGACACTTGAGTATGTTATTTTGTTGACATTTTCTTGAGTCTTTAAGTTCATGGTTGATATCTTGTGAGGGATTCACCATTACCCTATGACATCTAAGATATCATTTCACTCTTACTTGATCTTCATCAATCTCATTTGAACTAAGACAAGTATCATCCCTCTTTAGATGATGTTATTCATCAATTAGGTGACTTTTCTTGTATATGAAGTTTCATCTTCTTACTTGGTTACCCTTGAACCTTATCTTGAGTTAACTTACTATGCAAGTCACACATTCCATAATTCTTAAATTATGTACTCGTCATTTGATCTATACTTATTTAATTTGCTTGCTCATCTCCTTTAGCCAATTCCCTTGTATATTTTATGTGCAACTTTCTCCCCATGCTTGTGATGTTTGAATGTGTAAAAGTTAGAGGTCATTTTCTACTGACTTGTATGTTTTTACACCTTCTAAACATGTTCCCTCTTCATCTATCCCTTTCTTGCACTTCACTCATCTTTAAGGGGATGTTAAGGTGTGGTATTGACCCATTCTTGTACTAACTTTTGAATGTGCTTTAGTGGTGATTCTTTAAGGATATTAGAGTTTATTGATAGGTGTTATCCTTATGTATTTTCTTATGACTTCACACTTACTTGACATGTCATGCAATGTTCACTTGATCGCACACTTGTTCCCACTTCACATCACAACTTTAATTGAAACTAGTTTGTGTATTTTGGTGTTTGTACCGTGTTTTTAATGTCTAATTGAATTTCTTCTTGACCATGAGGTTTGTGCTAAGTATATAACATGTCAATGTCCATCTCTTCTCCTATTCTTGATTAGTGCTTATGCTTCTATCTAATTGTATGCGTGTTTATGTGATGCTTGATTTCTCTCTTATCTAAGTGTATGATTGCTTCTTCTTCTTCTTCTTCTTCTTCTTCTTCTTCTTCTTCTTCTTCTTCTTCTTCTTCTTCTTCTCTTTTGTGAGTTTGCCATGTTCCTCATAGGATCTTTAATTCATTCTTCTCTAAGTTTTAACTAAATAGACCTTAGGTTTGCTATCTATGCATGACAACATTAGGTAGATATCCCTCTTATCCCAACTTTAGGTCCACAAGCATGACAACTTATAGGATTGAGATCCCCTTTTGTTAGTCTTTTCTCTTTTGCATCCATGTTAAAACTAAAACTTCTTTTTCTTACGCTTGTAAAAGCTCGCAAAAAATGAGACAAATATATTAACGTATACAGACTTAAAATCTTGGTTGGCTCTCCCAAAAAACACGGGTAAAACGGTCAATATCCGACAGACCGGATTCATTTTGACACCCTTTGCCATGATAAAGATGTCGATGTTTGACTTATCATACTTCAAAGACTTGGATGACAAGATTGTGACTATGAATTTTAATTATCTCTCAGAAAATTTATAATTTTTTTTGTATTAATATAATTTTTAAAAGTATTTTTGTTTTTCTCTTTAAATACCTCTTAGTACTCTATTTTTTTTTGAATATGCACTTTTTTTTTGTTATAATATTTATATTAAATTTCTTAACATGTGCATAATGGTAAAATTTTGATTACTAGATTGTTTTCTGTATCATAAAGTTAGAGCTAATCAATAAAACTTACACATACATCAAATATAAATTACGTGTCGAACTTTTAACTTTTACTATTTAAAATGCATTTCTAGAACTTTTTCTTATCAAATTTCTATAAAATGATATGATCACTCTAAATATAAAATCTAAAATTTTAAACTGGCGGTCAATTATAACAATGAAACCAAAGTTAAATAATACATTTAAACTCTAAAATTCGATTGGTCAAAAAATAAATTGTGAGCCATTTTTGACAAACTTTAAAAACCTTAAATACCATGAACTCAAGTCACGTGACTCGGATCTACCCCGACAACTATATCCAAAACCGAATCAATGTCGTGTCAAATTCCTACTTCCTACGCAAACCCAAAATCCACCTCCGTCAATAACCGTTAACTTCTCAAAACTACAATCTTTCTTTGTGGTTCTCACTCTCTTAACTTCGTCAACATGTTCCTTCCCTTATGCCATTGCACACGCTTTAGCTTTCCATTTTCTTTCCCAAATTAGTCTTTAAATCCACACGTTCCCTTTTTGTTTTCTTGCCAGAATGAAAAATGGGTTGGTGTCACATTCGTTTTTGATGCTAAAAATTACATAAAGTTTTGATTTTTATTTCTGGGTTTTCAAGATGTGGAGTAGATGGCGAATTGGGTTATTGAGACAAAGGGTGTGTTCTGTTATGAATAGAAATCATGGTTATGTTGGAAAGGTTCATCCTTTTGATCCTTTCTTATTCAATTTGAAGGATTTCAAAATGGGTTCTGCTTATGGTGAGAAGAGAAAAGGGGTTACATATTTTTCGGTTGTTATGATGAACCAAATGAAAAGAGGTATATCTTCTGGTTCATCGGATAATAATGGCGAGAAGAGAGAAGAGAGTATATCTTTTTCTGAAGCTAAGAAGCTTATGAGATTGGTGAATGTGGAATCTCTTAAGATGAAACTTGGTATGGGAGGGAAAGAAGTTATTGCTTTTAGTGAACTTGTTGAAGCTTGTGAGAGTATGGGGGTTGCTAGGAATTATGATGAGGCTTCTGCATTTGCTAAGGTTCTTGATGAAGCTGGTGTTATTCTTCTTTTTCGAGATAAGGTTTATCTTCATCCTGATAAGGTTTGTTTTTACCTTTTTTGTTGCATCTGTTTTACTTTTTGGTGAATGGAATTTGAAGTTAAGAGTTAAGTATATTTAGATGTTTTCATTCTGAAATCAGATTTGAGATTAGGTAAAAACAACTTATGTGTTGCTTGCTCAACACGCTACGTGTTTTCAGGTGGTTGATCTGGTTAGAAGAGCCGTCCCGCTAGCACTGACCGAAGAGAGTGATCCAATTAGGGAGGAGTTGCAGAAGCTTCTGCAAAAGAAAGAAGAAATCGACATGTTGGCGCATAAGCAGATGCGCCGCGTCCTATGGTCTGGACTTGGTTTAGGCATAGTCACTGTGAGTCTCTTCTTCAGGCTAACATTTTGGGAATTCTCATGGGATGTAATGGAGCCTATTACATTCTTCACAACAACCACTGGCTTAGTCATTGGCTATGCCTACTTTTTATTCACATCAAGAGACCCTACTTACCAAGATTTCATGAAGAGACTCTTCATTTCAAGGCAAAGGAAGCTTTATAAGAGGTATGACTTTGATGTTGAGAGATGCAAGGAGCTTCAATACTTGTGTAAAATACCTTTAGATGCTAAATCCATTTTGAAAAAACGAATAGGAGTCGATCTTGATCTCGATGATGCTTTACACAAGGATTAACATTTTTCTTTCGACTTCATTTTGTTCACCCCCTCTATTTTCACATTGGTGGGGGAGAGAAGCTTATTCTAACTTTATGTTATGGCTTGTGACTTTTGAGCCACCATTTTTTTTTCCTTCTTCAATTGGTGTATGTACTTTTAAATACAAAAGATGATAGCATGTTGTTGTTTTACATGTCACATGAGCAAGGATGAATCAAACCTTGTAAGATTTGTTACACGATTAGTCTCGAAACTATATGAAGTTCTTCGGTTTATAACAGTATATACTAATTAACTTGATAGATTTTATATACTTTAGACACCAAGAAAAATAGTACTAATATTTGGAGTACTGAATATTGATGGCTTAATCTAATAAGGAAATAATTAACTTATAATTACTATAATACACGTGCGTCCCCACGAAATTATGGATTGCCGCTATTTTTTTTTTTTTGGAATTTCTTATTCCACCCCATATCCAAAAGAAATATCTTTTGTAATTCTAAAATTGTCTATTGTAAATCGAAAATATATTTCTGATATGTATCTTTTTTAAGTTGCACTTATGTAAAATCGGAAATGCATTTCTAGTATAAACCGGAAGTATACTTTCGGTTCCTAAATAAATGCAAAAGAGGTTTGTAAGTTTTGTTTAACTTTTGATAGGATTAAATTTTTAATTCCTTTATTAACAGTATCCTTAAGATATTTGTTATTAGTATTCTTACTTTGTACATTAATTGACTGATGCATAAAAAAAGAAATGGGAATTTGGCGGCATCTCACTTATTTTTATTGATGATGCATAAAAAAAGGAATGGGAATTTGGCTGCATCTCACTTATTTTTGTTGATGATTCTATGTTGCAGTTAAATATCTCTTCATTGAAGTTTAAGCATTTTAGGAACCGGAAATACATTTTCGATTTTTACCGGAAGTGCATTTCCAGTGTCAATTTTACCGTAAAATTAAGCGAATCTAAAAAACGAATAAATTATATGTGTGTGATGCGAACCGAAAGTATATTTTCGGTTTTCAGGGACATTTTTGAAAATTCGCGTGGTGCGCTAGAAAATCATGAAGTGGAATAAGAAATCCCCTTTTTTCTAGTGGTATGTTAGAATTATTACATCAACCTATAGTACGTCTTTTTAATTGTTGATTTTTTGGAAAGATCAATGATATGTAGCCTCAATAACAAAAATTTATGAATTGATAGGTAGCATAAATATATAAAAATTTATGAATGAAATAATTGATTATGTAAAATATTATTGTAAAATCTGGTCTCTCACCTAAGATATTTCGTTTACAAAATTCATGATCGATGGTCTGTGTACAATTCAGTAAAGTTGCACCGAATCTAAATTCGAACTTAAGAAAGTATGCCCGAGTTTTAAGAATCCAAGGGGCAAGGCCAAATTAGTTTGACTTAATGTGTTAGGTTGGGTAGGTCACTCTAGAGTCAACATATCTCACTCGGGATTAATGCACTCTAACATAAGACAAAGCATTCTAGGTGTATTAATGGTCATGAGTGGTTGATTTCCGACAAGATGACATGGAACTTGATTTCCATTAATTGGTCTTATGCAGATCAGGAGACACAACTAATACTTCTGACGCTGGTAGGGTTATCAATTAGTGTATCTTACATGTATATTTGGCGGCCATTGTGGGATTTGGTAAAACTAGTATGGGCCATAGAACCATATCTAACATCAGTCTCTTATCATCCCACGGTGGTAAGGGCAGCCACCAACAACAACGACGATGTAGAGATGAAAATTTGAGATCAAATCATTGATTGACTTAACTCATACAGTGAAAGTCGCCACCGCGCTTTATTATTTCTAAGGAAATGGGGAAAGGAGCGAATACAACACAATATAAACATGCAAAGCAAGAAGAAAAACTAGAAGTAAAGCAATAACAATACAATAAAGAGATCTAAGGTACGAGGGTTGGTTATACAAAGTGGATATAACACTCTATGTATCTATTGAAGGTAGAGAAAAACACAAGAAATGGGGAATTTGAATTGGGTTTTCCAAAATATTTCCCTTTTAAAAACTATTTAATGTAACTATGAAGCAATATAGAATGCTAAAAATATAAAGAGACACATTCAGTTTATCCAAGTTCACCATTAACTAGGCTATATCTTGTCCATCCTCCTCAACTGATTTTTCCTTCAACAAGGACTTAATCCACTATAACCAAATTGCTTACAATTGCACGACAACCGTCAGTGGCTCACAACCAAACAATGATCAACAACCATTGACCCTTTAAGAAATATGACCAACCTGGTCTTTCTTAATAGGATTTCACAATGACCCTCAGCCATTATCATCTTGAGTCTTCTGACTTTCACTTAGTCACTCAAGGGACAATACAATGATACATTCAATGATCTCCAAGAGATATAACGATCAAGGACACTATAAGAAATTTGACCAACCTGATATTTCTAAAAAGGATTTCTCATAATGATCCTCAATTAGTGATCTCTTAAGAATTCTAACCTTCTTTGTCCCCTGAGAGATATAGCGATCATTGACCCCATAAGGATTCTGACCTAACCGGTCCCTTAGAATAGGATTTCATATACAATGACCATCAACCACTGTCTTCTCAAGTCTTCTGATCTTTACTCGATCACTTGAGGAACAAAATAATTCTAAATATAATTGTTTTTCTGGAGATTACATGAGTGCTTCTTGATAAGCAGATTACTCATAATTTAAGCATATATTGTTTAACACAATTTTGAGCAACAACTCTTGTGTTTAAATAATTTACATGAATAACTTAAGCTATAACACAATATGAGCAACAACTCTTGTGTTTACATGTTTTCTACAAATATGAATATAATCTAAATTGAGCGCAACATCTTGTAGTCTTCTTGTGTTCATCTTCTTTGTTGACTAAGTTATGAGCAACAACTCCTTGCTTCTTCATAATTTTGCCAAGATGTATTTGATAAGAGTTTATGTATCATCTTGTAGAATTCTTCTTCTTCATCTTGTTTCTATGTTAAGCAAGATATGAGAAACAACTCCTTGCTTCTTCATTTAATCTCTTTAACGTTGTAAGGTGTTTTCTATTAAGAGAAACAACATTATTTGGACTCGATATTATCAACTTCGTTAATATCTTTGTCAATTTGAATTTGAAGCTTGATTCTTCTTATATAGCCTTCAGATAAAAGAGTCGTTGTGATAGAGAAGTCTTTTTCTCCTTCCAACGGTTGATTCCCAACGGATATATTCAAGAGAGGTTTGGAACAGTACGAAACATCACTTTCCTATACCCGCTGCTTGCAGTAGATAAAGTACGACAATGGGAGAACAACTTTTATGAATATTACAACCAATATACTATTTTCTTCTTGACTAAGTTTCTTGATCTTTATCTTCTGATGATGTACTTTTGATTCTGAAGTAGTAGGCTTGGAAGAGATCAATCAGTTGCCTTAGTTCTTCTAATGAATGACTGATGAGTAGTTCATAAACTACTTCGTTGTTCTAGTTCAGGAACATCAGATAGTTCAGAACCAAATCTTGTCTTCAAAATTATAGGTAACAACCTATCCGAAACACGAAGCTTTTATTTTGATCTAGAACTAGTCTTGAAGGCATATTTCTTTTTTGATCTGAGAGATGAAGATTGTGTTGAGAATATGTTTCATTTCATAAACTTTCATAGTGGATTCTTGTCTCCATAATGTTTGACAATAACCTATATAAGGAACAAGTGTTGTCGTTGTAGGCGAAAGCTTTTCTGATGAAGATATCAAAAGCTTTTTCTCATGATGGACCTTGAAATCAGATATTATGACAAGAGCCTATCTGATTCTCAAGTCTTTGAGTTCTTGAGCTTTGATTCTTTTCTTCTTGCTGGATTGATTCTGATTGAGGAGTGATAATGATCCAGAAGATTCTTCTTTGTTGTAGAATCATATTCTTTCATATATTTGAACATTGTCTTCAGATATACAAGCAACAACTTATCTGATGAATAACTTCTATGAGTGAAAGCTCTTCTGATCTACATTGTCTTGATCTTTAATAATCAACTTTTTTAAGACGCATATCTAATGTCTGATTTCTGAAGCACTAACTTATATCAGTACATCTGATTTTGATGTTGAATTATTTTCTTTCTAATCTCTTTAATTCTGATCTTTGGATTGAGATGGAAGCAACAACTTATGTCAGCTACATCTTGATTTCTGATCATAAATTCTTTCTCTATGATATCTGAGTTTGGCGCTTTCCTAAGAACATACTTGATTCCCTTTCTTATGAAAATTCAACATTCCTTAGAACTGCTGATATTTCTTTTAGAAATAGTCACAATAGTTCTTATGTTGAGTGGATTGATTTGAGAGGATATCATCCTTTGATCTTGTCTTTTGATGGACTATATGATGTTGATTTGAATTGAGTCCATAAGATCTTTCTTTCTTTTATTCTTTCTTCTGATGGAATACTTTTGATGCTAAATAAAGGCGTGTATTCAATGAACTCTCTAAGTCTTCAGAGACTTGACTTTGTCTTTAGAAATATGAGCAGTAACTCCTCTAATGAACAAATCTTGTCTTCTGTTTCGGAGGTAGAAGCTTTCTTTTCATGTGTTCAAAGTCTTGACTTTGTCTTCAAAAATATAAGCAACAACTTTTCTGATGAGAAAATCTTGACTTCTGACCTTTGCGTTAAAGCTTGTTTCTTGTACACTCTTGATTTCTGATCTTGAAGCAACAACTTATCCGAAATTCTTTCTTCTTGTGTCTTGTGACTTCAAAAACAACAGCTTATTGAGAAGTACATGCATGGTCTTCTTTTTGATGTGCTTAGCATATTTTTGATTCTCCAGACAACAATCTTTAGTTAATTAGACTTTCTTATCTGCACACTCAATGAAACCATTAGAACTAAAATTGTTCTTCAGAAAATATATACATTTTTATCATCAAAACATAGAAATTTAAACACAGATCCAAAA